GATGATGGATGATGAATGGATGATGGATGGATGGTGGATGGATGGATGGATGGATGATGGGTGGATGGATACATGGATGGATGGATGGATGGATGGTGGAAGGATAATGAATGGATGGATTCATGGATGGACATGATAGATGATTGATTAATGGATGTATGGATGGTATAGGGCAACCGATTAACATGTGTGAAATCCAAGTACAAGTTACTCCATATCATTTTTAATTCAAAATATTATATTTTAAACATAAATTTAAAAGACTGAAACATCACCATTTTTTTTTCCCTGATGAGAAAACATTTATGTGTTTCTGTGCGTGTCAGGTTGGGAGGAAACACAGGATGCACATTGTCCCCCCCAGCACGTCCTGGTGCCCATACAGCAACAATGTAGACAAAAGTCAGCAGGACACTGACGGAATGTCACTCGCCCTTCGGCTAGAAATCTCATCGAAAATTGGCGATTCTTGTGCACGTTGGGGGCAGCAATCCCATTAATAAAACGGCTGAGGAGCCCGGCGCCTGTGTCTACGTGGCCACCACCCTTACTGAAATAACTTGCCACACAGGTTCCCCTGACACCCGATGACAAAATAGGGATGTGGGGGCCACGTGGGCCTGCAGCCAGCTCCACCCCAAGCCCTGCGCCCCGGCCATCTCCCCCATGAAAGTGCCGGGAACTTCTCCTGAGGATGTGCCCAGCCTCTCGGGAGGCAGAGCTCTAAGCCGCCTCCTTGTCTGCAAGCGTGGGAAGCCCACTCAGTTACGCACAGAGCCGGACATGAGGCCGCGCGCACAGCACCCCCGAGGACGCATCGTGTCTCCTTTCCCGCTTTAAACCCACCTCCCTGCGGGATGCAAATCTGCTTCATGTGTTTCACTCCAGACCTCACTCAGGAGTCCCTGTTGGGCCCCCACCCCCACCCAATGCTCCCTGGACCAGAGGTTCTCAGCTTGGGGAGATCCTGCCCACAGGGGGACAGTTTTGGTTGTCACACTGCGGAGGGGGCGCTCCTGGCGTCCGGTGGGTGAAGACCTGGGACGCTGCTCAACACCCTACAGGGCCCAGGACGCCCCTCATCAGAGAGTCACCCAGACACAAATGTCAGTGTGTGAGGCTGAGAGACCCTGACTTAGCATGAGAGACCCTGTCTATCTATCTATCATCTATCTATTTATCCATCTATCTGCGTATCCATCTCTCTATCATCTGTCATCTCTACCATGTAGAGCCATGTCTTGTCCAAGGTGGTGCCGCCCAGGGCAGAGGGACGGACGGACAGCCTTTCAGGTCCGGAAATTTGCAAAGTAGAGCATGACGCTGCACTGGCCCGTTTCCTACAGAAGTTGCACCACTTTGGGTCGTTATTTTGAAGGAAGGGAATTAGTGAGACGGGCTGATGGATTCTGTCCTCCCTCTCACCCCCCCAAAAAAAATCGTGTGTAGGAGTCCTGACCCCCAAGAGGCTGCTGTGAGGAGGTGGGGCCTGTCGGGAGGGGTTAGGGTGAGATGGGCTCGTGAGTGTGGTGGGGGGGCAGGCGCCTCACGACATCCCTTTAAAATGATGCCATGTCATATGCTCCGTGAGTTACTGGCGAGGTTCATGTGAACGGAGGTCTTAGAAAGACGGACCGATGGCCATGGAGACCAATGCGCCTACACGGCAAGCTTTGTATGGACGTATTTTTTTCCCCACCCACCGTGGAATCTGTGACTCCCAGCATGGCGAAGGTCGAACGTTTCACCAGAGTTTGTCTTGAACGACCGTCACTCACCTTTTTCCCAGGACCCCATCTCGACAGGGCAGGTGCTGAGACGAAGCCGCTCTGGCTTTGGGATAATCGTCAGCTGCTCGTGAGCGGTTCTGCGGAAGCCCCCGGTTGGGGCAGGATGTTGAAAAGGAGAGGAAAGGGGCCTTCGATACCTCCGTCATTCTCGGTTGGCCGGGCCGTGTCTCAGATGCAGAGCCAGAGCCCACACAGAGGTCTTGTGCAAAGGTCCTGTAGGAAGGATTTGCTGGAAGGTCTTACCAGATGGTCTTGTAGGGAGGATGTGTTGGGAGACGTTGTTTGGAAGGACGTGTAGGGAAGTCTTGTTGGAAAATTTGGTCAGGAAGTCTGGTTGGAAAGCCTCGTAGGAAGGTGTAGTGAGAAGGTCTTGACGCAGTCCTGTCCTGTGTCCCCGGGTCCCCAGGCCTCCAGGTAACAGTCCCGGGGCGGGGGTGGCTGGGAAGGTAGCCAGCTGCTCTGCAGACATCTCTGCGGTGTCACCGTGCCCTGCTGGTGTCGGCCCCTGACTTCTGCGTCTGGTCACGGGGTTCATCTCCGCGTGCTTCTCAAGTCTGACAGGCTCCCCCCCCCAATTCCCGCCTCACCGAGGGGGCTCCCGGGTGCAGGAACTTGCCCGTTCTCCTCACTTTTCTGCCTCCTCTCTCCCCATTCTGCCCAATTCAAGCTTTCAGCGTCTTGACTGAGCTGAGAGGCCCAGCCCAGGATTTTCGGAGGCAGCTACTGACCCCTAGTGACCAAAACTTCTATTCTCGGCAACATCAGACGTGTGTCGGCGGGTTTCCTTGTCGGGAGGATGTGTCGGGAGGGCCGATGTGCGGTCTTGTCAGTCGGTCTGGTCTGACGGTCTCCTCGGAAGGGTCCCACGGCTGCCGGGAGCCACCTGGGGCTCGCACGGCTGTGCTTTCCTGCAGGCCAGCCCTGAAGGAGCCACCACGGGGCGTAGGTAAGACAGGCCTCTTCCTCCCTGGAGACCCCTGGAGACCCCTCGTGCTCGGGCTGAGCTAAATACCCGGCCTTCCCTTCATCCGGCCCCCTTCCAGGTATCCGTCCTATCACCTGAGCTCCCACAGCTACTTAAATGCTCCCAGGTTTCGCTCTCAGCTGACTCTGCTTGTCAGGACCGCTCTGCCTGGGGCGCCTTTCTCTCCTCGGAGGCTCTTTGCTGAACCGGAGGGACATTGTTGCAAAGGGTTTTATGAGCCTTGGGGACAGCCGTCCGCTAGGCTGGGGTGGCGTCTGTCACACAGAGCACCCCATTTCTTCTCTCGTCGTTGCTTTTCCAACGAGCCTGTGGGCTCCTGCTTCTAAGTGTCTTTGTGTCTCCGGAACCCAGGTGATGTCCCAGGCTTCCAGGAAGTGGGGGGACAGGCTGACACCAAAAGGGGCGCAGGTTGGGGGGGTCCTTGGCCTCCTCTTCCAGGCTGAGTGAGTCTTTAGCACCAAGCCGCCTGGCTGCCTGACATATTGGGGGGCCACAAACGATAATCCTGGGGCAGCGATGAACAGGCGAGTGTGGGGGACGCAGGGGAGCAGGGGAGCTCCCCAGCTGCGAAACGGCCTGGCAGAGCCTTGTCTGTCCCTTCATGGTCCCGTCGGGATGAAAGTCGTCGCCTTTGGAACCCTAATCTACAGGGTCAAGTCGATGAAAGACGCCTGCTGGTTTCTGCAGCGAGGGGGGGACACCCCACGGCTGTATTTCTTGTCCCGTAAAGTCTCAGTTTCCCCGTGGGATTCAGGCTCCCCGGGGAGAGATGGCGCGTTTTGGGCACGATTTTCAAGCCGGGTCAGTAATGGGCGGATGGCTTGTGGTCCCTTCTCTTTGCTGTCGGGAGGCCCCAACTTCTCTCATGATTGTCCTTGGAGCGTGAAAAGCGATGGCAGAAAGTTTCCCGTCCGCAGACGTAAGATCTGTTCCGGAAAAGGCACGACGCTGCTTTCTCACCTTCTGCGGTAGAGAAACAACGGGAAAGTCTTAGCAACCGTGAAAAGAGCACGGAGACAAAGAGACTTTCGGGGGAACAAAGAATTCGAATCACGTAGGACAGCGTCTCCCACCCACGGATGGGCACCCGCGACCGGCCCCGCTGTCGGAAATCCGGAAACAAAACCAAAGTCACCCACTCACCGTCCGCAAGACCCCACGGAAGAGGTCATCTCATTACCTGTAGCTGCAGGTGACAATCCTGACCCACGGGCGCTGACGCCGTTTCGGGAATCTCTCTGACTTTCTAACCCCGCGAGACGGAAAGTCACCTGTCAGTCCTGTCCTGTGTCCCCGGGTCCCCAGGCCTCCAGGTAGCAGCATCTTGACTGAGCTGAGAGGCCCAGCTCAAGATTTTCGGAGGCAGCTACTGACCCCTAGTGACCAAAACTTCTATTCTCGGCAACATCAGACGTGTGTCGGCGGGTTTCCTTAAGCCACGAGGAAACCGGGGGGTCCCGCCGTGCCCCCCCATCAAAGGGCGGACAGCTCGGACCCCACGGAACCTCCCCGATCCCCTCTCTGCCTCGACTTTCTCTTTGCCGTCGTCCAAATCGGGAGGTCTTTGCCCGTTTTCTTACTGACCTAAGTAACAGTTGGATCTTAAGCCAAATTTGCAATCAGGCCGAGAGATTTCCTCCTAGGGACTCGACTGCCACCTGATGGCGGAGCCCCGCGTTTGCAGGCGGGGGGCATGGGCGGAAGTCGAGCTGACAGTTTTCCCCAGGGAGTTTTCACATTCCTTTCTGGTTTTTTTCTGCCACATCTTAGGTATGTTTGTTGCGGCACAATGTACGAGTGTCCTGGGATGGCCAGGAGAAATGACCAGTGACCAGAAGCTTAAAGCCACAGATATTTATCCTCCCCCGTCCTGGAGGCCAGGAGGCTGCCACCAACCTGTCCCAGGACCGCGCTCCCTCCAGAGGCCCCAGGGGACGGTCCCTCCTGCCCCGTCCAGCTCCTGGGGGCTCCAGGCGTCCCCGGGCGGGTGGCCGCCTCCCCCCATCTCTGCCTCCGTCTCCACGTGGTGTCCCCTCTGTGTCTGTGTCCCTCCTCTTCTGTCCCCGATAAGGACACTGTCATTGGAGTCAGGGCCCCCCTGATCCAGGACGCCCTCCTCTCAGATCCTCACTCAGTCCCATCTGCACAGACCCCGTTTCCACATAAGGCCCCCTTCACTGTACTAGGGGTTCAAATTTCAACTTTTTAGGGGGAGGAGGGGGTGGCACAATTGAACCCACCTGGGGACGTAGGCCTGAGCAGCTAGGACACTGCGCAGCCCTGGGAACCTCCCGGTGCGTCTTGTGCCTTCAGCGTCAGTGTTGTGAGTGACAGGAAGCCCTGGCCCCCCAGGTCCTGCTGGGCGGGACTTAGGAGCGTCTGTCCGTCTGTCTGTGCAGACAGCTCTGGCCAACAATAGAAGTTTTGGTCACTAGGGGTCAGTAGCTGCCACTGAAAACCCCCGGGCATGGGCGCCAGGCTCCGCAGAGACGCTGGGCCCGGGCAGCCGGCCTCCCAAGCGTGTGACATCAGGGAACTCAGGGACTGTGTGGGCCTGTCCTCCAACCCCGAAGCGACCCGCTTCCACGGCGGGGACGCAAGCAGAGGCGCCGGCGGCTTGGGGATGGAGACCCCTGGGCCCCCCCTCCAGGGGCGGCAGCTGCAAAGGGGCCCCGGCGGCCACGCTGCACCAAGAAAACCTCACAGGACACACGCGCTTTTCCTGGAAACCACAGGCGGCTCTTCCCGGAAACACGGGGCTGAGAGCCTTGGACAGAGATGAGCCGTTCTGTCCCCAAAAACCTGCTCAGTGACTTTTTATTATTTTGTTTCAACTCGGAGATTAGCATTCTTATCTCCCGGGGTATCTCCACCTTGCGACAGCCGTGGAAAGTCCCTGCCAGCCCCCAACGGCTTTGGGGCCTCTGCTCCTTGAGAAATCTCACCACGGAGAGATATGTCGGGGGGCACGGAAGGCACCCTGGGGGGCTCTTCTCGCTTTTGGAGAAACACGCACCCCGATTCGGAGAGGCGCGGAGACAAGACCTCCTTGGCTGGGGTCCCCCTGGGAACGACCCAGGACCTGAGAGACCCTGGGCGTGTGTGGGGACGTCTTGGGGTCACATTGCTCAGGCTCCCTTGTGTGTCTCAGCCAGGGTCCCCTCTGGCCTCGTTCCCACGCCCAGAAAGGGCTGGGCGTCCAGCCCAAGCCTGACCGACGGCTCAGCTCTGATGCGGGGTCGTTTCCTCCCCGCTTTTTGCTGCCTTTGAGAGCTGTCACAGAAGGCGCAGGGTGACAACTTCACCGAGAGGAAATTTTGTTTTTGGAGTTCTCGCACGTTGACCCCTGCGCCCCAGTTCCTTCGTCCATCACGGGCTGCTTCTGAGTTCCTGGATTTCTGGTGATGCCCAGACGCACCCCAGAGGCCCCCCCCAGTCACCCCACATTTCCGTCACTCACCTCGGAGGCCTCTATTCACCCCCAAATTTCCATCATTCACCCCAGGGAACCCCATACTCATGCAAACTTCCATCCCTCCCCCCCAGAGACCCCAGAATGTCCCCAAACTCCCAGGTCCCCAGTCCCTGCCGAATCCCAGGACGGGCAGGAAGGGGCTCTTAGTGGGGGACAGGCCGTCAGCGGCAAAGCTGGGTGGTGACAGTCAATCAGCTTGGTGCGGGTCACGGTCACAGGCATCCTCCCCTGTGGGTCTCAGACACGGGGGTCTCTGCCAGACAGCGCGTCGCCCCGTCACACGGGGATCGCCCGACGTCCCCCCACAGCCACGGGCACCGGGGTACAGAAAGCTGCTCAGGACCACGCTCGATGGGAAGTTAAAACTGTTGTGAATTTAGGGACCGCCACCCAGGACGGCTGACATCCAGGAAAAAGGGACCCTTGTCCTCGGCGTGGTCCCCTCTGGGACCAGCACCTCCATGTCACCTACGTGTCACCTCGGGGGCAGGTGAGGGACGCAGAGCCTCAGGCCCCAGCGGGACACGGAACTGGCATCTAACAGGCGTCCCCGTCCCTTGTTTGTTCCACTTTCTGCCCCAGATTCTTTTTCAAGGAGCGTTTCGTGTGTGTGTCTTTGATGCCACCACACAGGCTCCGTTCCTGGGCGCTGGGCCCACGGTTGCTACCGTCTCGAGACCTTTGTCGGCAAATCACTAACACGGTATTGGGCCCGTCGAGGGCCAGTCTGCAGGATGTCGAGGTCCGTGCAACGCCACGGAGTTTCAGGACAAAACCCTGCTGGACAATGTCAAGACCTGCTTTGTTTGCAGGTTACAAAAAAAAGTTTAAAAAAAATCCGAGACTCAGAGCAGCCTGCGCCGGGCACACCTGGGTCTCCGTCGGACCGACACACACAGATAGCAATCTTGTGGGGAACACGGTCTGACAACATCCCACCACGGAATTTGTTTTTCCAGCCGGAGTTTTTTACATGTTTGTGAAACGGGGAAGTGAGCAGTAGCCCAGGGAACTGTGAATGTTTCTCTCTGGGTTCCGGGGCGTTTGGGGCAAGCGGGTGGGTGGGGGAGCTGTGTAAGCAGGAATCGTGAAAATAACGGCCTGTTTTCCACTTCTCGTTCTATCATCGGCAAGGCAAGCCCGTCTTGTAAAGCAAAGGTCAAGATTTCGGTCAGCACTTTAGTTCCCCGTCCTGTGGGGTTTGTGGCACAGCCCTGCGGGGTGGGGGGGGGGATTGGGGACACACAGCCCCCCCAGGGTCCCCAAACAGGACAGCAACGTCCCACCGGCTGGCAGCAGGGTTTCAGAAAGCCGTCTTCAGCCAGGTTTCAATACGTGGGCGGGGGTGCGGGGTGGGGGGAAGGGCGTTCCCAGGAGGGCCGTTTCCTGGGCAAAACATCCATTTTCAAGGTAAACAAATGTCAGCACCTCATGGACGGGTCCCCGCCTGTGGGCTGTAACTCCAACCCCGTCCAGAAATGAAAATGAGAAGCTGTTTCCAAGAGTGTCCCTTGATGTTTCGGGAAGACGGAGGCGCTTACAGCCCGTCTCCTCTCTAATTGTCATGCTAACGCGATGGGCGGGAACGCAGGCCGCACAAAAGTGTCCCCAGCAGCTGGGACGCCGGAGAGAAGCCATGGTCGCCACCGCCTCAGGCCCAGGGAAGTCCCATGACGATCAAAGCAATAGGAAGGAAGAAAGTGTGGTTTTTTTGGGAGAAGACGCGAAAATTCCACCCATTTTTCAAACAGAAAACCGTTGGGTGGCCGGAGGGGGGGGGCAGGCCTCCCCCTGAGTTCCGAGGGGCCTGGTGTGTCTGCAGTTAGGGGAGGGGGCACCTCCAGCGCAAGTGGTCGACATTCACGATGGAAGCACGTGTGTATCGGGGAACGGGGATAGCAAGTCCAGGGGGCCCGTGTTGTCCCCACGGCCCCAGCACCCATGGGAGGCCTGTGCCTGTGACGGCCGCCGGGCTGCCGGCCACGGCTCCCTTGTGCCACAGGCCGGCTCTTGGCTGCGTGTTTCTCCTCTACACACGTTCTTAGAAGGCCAGCGAGCGCCGAGCCTGGGTGGCCGTCACCGCAAGGCCACGTGACACCCCCACGAACACCGCACCCCGCGCACCCCCAGCCCGGCTCTGTCACAGCGGACCCCAGGGGGCTCGTGGCCACTCCAAAGTGGGACCGAAGACACGTGCGCGTGCAAAGAGCCTGCGGCTGAGCGTGGCTGGAGCCTGATTTTCTTTCCTCCAACTTGGCCGGACGCCTGTCCCTGCGAAGCACCTGCCCTGGGCGGGAGCCCTTTGCTTCCCCACAACATCGTGGGGCTGGCGAGCGCACAGTGTGCAGGGCAGACACTCCGGGAGCATCTCTGTCGTGCCGTCTTGAGTCTCAGGAATCCTCCTTGTTGGTGACAAGGGCCTTCACCTGATCAGACGAGGCCCACCCGTCCACGTCACGGACGGTGGCCCCTTTACTTAAAGTCGCCTGGCTGTGGGGCTGAACCACACCTGCAACCAAGGTGCGTCTGCAGTCCCTGACCCACCACCTCTGTCCTTGCCTGTCCCCATGCAGCCCAGCACCTACTCCTCAGAGCGGGGGACCCGGGGCCATGCCTGGGGACACCTTTGGTTGTCACAAGTGTGGGGGAGCTGCTGGCACGTGCTGGGTGGACACTAGAGATAACAGTCAGCGCCCTACAATGCTCAGGGTGGTGTCGCTCTAACCACCCCGCTGGCAGCCCAGGACAGAGCCGAGGAGACCCCACGATGACACGTCGATGAGCCCTAGAAGGAACCCTGGTTTGTGTCCTCATTTCAACATGGACTCTGGCTGAGTGGCTGGTGCAGGCTGGACACCTCACCGATGGATGGCCCAGCGCCTTTCTACTCAGGACCCGACTGTCCCCCTGAATGGGGACGTGACAGCAGCTCGGATATGGCCCTGGGGTGTCCGCCGAGCCTGAGCAGGTGGGAGCTGGCTTCCCAAGCAGCCACTTCTGCACCTCCAGCCGCACCGTGGAATTAGCACGCTGCACAGGAATTGCTCATCAGGCCACGAAAGGCGCACGGGACCCTGCAATGCCTGTGACTCGGTGACAGCGGCCAGCCTGAGATGGACTCACACTGTGTGACCCCAACTCTAGGACACGCTGGAAAAGGCAAAAACATGGAGACAGTGAAAGATCCGTGGGCGCCCGGGTTGGGGGGCAGAGGGGATGAACAGGGGAGCACAGAGGGGCTTTAGGGCCGTGAAGCCACTCCCTGTGACCCCATCATGGGGGACACGTCATCGTGCATCTGTCCAAAGCCACGGCACGTAGGACCCCAGGATGAGCTCTCACGCTGCCTGCTGTTAACCACTCGGCCAGTAACCATGTGTCACTCTATCAGCAATGTCACAGTAACAGCACCCGGAGAGTCACAGCGTGTTAACAATGTATCACTCTGGGTTCCGCTCTCGCAACAACGCAGCACACTGAAGCCAGATGATAAAATTCGGGGAACCCCTGCGAGGAGAGGGTCCCAATGGGAAACCCCTGTGCTTTCTGCTCCGTGTGGCTCCAACCCTAACGCGTCTCTAAAAATAAAGTCTACACTTTTTCTTTTCTTCTTCCTTTTTTTTTTTTTTTTCTTAAAGCCACTTCTGCAGGTGGCTTCCCCGGGCTCAGGAACCTCATGGAACTGTGGCTATGACGTCCCCACAGGACCCGTCACAGTTCCTCCTCCGAGTTACAGCAGCCGGCGCTGGTGGCCACCGAGAGTGTGGCCGTGTGACAGGGGAGGGCAGGGACCACGGTTACCCAGGAATTCCGATCATGTGTCATGACGTTTGTTGAGTTTCACAGCTTGTCTGCAGCTTTTGGGAAAAAAAAAAAAAAGCGTGGATTTTCAAGGTGCTGAAGAGGTTCTCCCCTCCCCCACCGGGAAGTGGGGTGAGGTGGGGGGGACACAGGGAGAGCTGGCCAGGGTACAGTCACTCACATTGTCCCAACTCTGCATGGTGCCCGGTGGGCACCCCACTTACCCGGGGGATCACTTTGCAAGCTGCGTAAATGTCTCAGCACTGTGCTTTTCAAACATTCTGTACTGAATGCCAACTGCAACTGAAAAAATATATATATATATATTATATATAACATGAACTTATCATGACAAAAAGGTCACCGTGTTAAAGTGTACAAAGCAATGTCCTTTCGTGCACTCACAATGGTCCCAAACTTTCTCACATCCCCCCGCCAAAGGAGACCCCACCCCATTAACAGTCACCCCCCAATTCCCCGTCCCCCAGCCCCTGGCAACCACCACGTGCTTTCTGACCCCATGGATCGCGCTTACCCTGGACATTGCCTGTAAGTGAAATTATGTAGTACGTGTCCTGTGATGTCTCTCGTCTCTCCCTGTGTCCGCGTTGCAGCAGGTGTCAGCGTCTCCCTCCGTTTTACGGACACACTTACTTTTCTCGGAGGTGTCCGGATACACCAGAGAAGGCAGGGTTTGTCGCCGAGAGCACACACGGGTCCAGGTCCTCTCAGACCGTCCGGCTCATCCTCTATGCCGCCGTCAACCGTCCACTCCTTTGGGGGGAAGAGAAAAGGCCCCATAGAGATGGAGCAAGGGCTGGGCAACCCCTAGTAGGTGCTGGCGTCCCGTCGTGCTCCCCGCAGCTCCGCAGACAGCATTCGGTGCCGTGGGAAGTCACCTGGCCAGCGGGTCCCCTCAACGGCCCCTGAGGTCAGGCACGGCCCCAACAGTCACCTCATCTTCACACCACCGTGGCGTTTTGTGCCCCACACGCAGAGCTGGCGTGTGGTGCCTGAGCGTGTGACTGAGGGATTCAGGGACAGAGAAGGAAATTTTGACCCCACATGGCACAGCCGAGTGTCACATCTGGGCAGTGACGTCTACCCAACGCCGCCCACCAGCTCGCCACCCTCGGACGTGGGGCGGCCAGCTCCTCCTGGCAGACGTGCGAGTGGCCTGGGGTTCTCACAGGACGATGCCACGCAAGCCGTGAGACCCAAGCAACCTGGGAAAGTCAGACGCCGTCCTGAGCGTTCCTCCTAGTCCCAGACCAGGGTCACACTCCCTAAAACAGGCACAATCGCAGAGAAAAGATCCGGCACCTCCCTGGTCCCCCCTCTGCACCCAGAACCCATCCTCGGCTGCAAACATGTCACCCTTCAGGCCCAGAGCTGAGAAGGGGACCACAACATGCCACCCCCAAAATATGACACTCTGGCATCCGGATTATTTTAAGCTGAGGACATTTGGGCTTCAACAAATGCAGAACAAAAGGCTTCCGGGACCTTTCCTTCTCTGACCAAAAGCAGCAGCTGCTCCTGGGAGACGAGGCCCCATAAATTCCTCTTCCGGGCGGATATACTCCCAGAAGTAGGAAGGCAGTAAGACCCGCCCCAAATTGCCTGTCAAGGGGTGTCTATGGCCCTGACGTAGGTGGGAAGGCCACTCATACCTGTGTAAACAAACATGGTCACAAACTTTATCTCCTGCTTCTTCTCAGAAAACCCACTTATCTTTCCCAAAAGTCGTTTGTTTTCCCCTAGGTGTCCTGTCCCTCCTCCCATCACCTAGTAAGTTAGGTACACAAACCCCAGATTCTAACCATGCTTTTGAGTTTCTCCCATGTGTCTGTGTGCTGCACATAAACTCTGCTTTCCTCTTTACTGTTAACCTGCCCGTTTAATTTACATGCCCCAGGCACAGAACCTAAGCGTATAGAGAACGAAGTTTATCTATTTACGTATTTTTTTCTCCTTCTCCTACAGTCTCATCTCCCTCCACCTAGAGCTGTCCATCCCCATAAGCATCAATGCTCTTCTTTAGCCCAGAAACCTGTAGGAGCCTGCGCTCCCTTTTCTGTATTTCTGTTCCCCGTGCGAATGAGGCCTATGGAGGGTGCCCTGCCATGTTGCATCTGAGGGCACGTTGGCAAGAGAGCGATCAGGCTGCCGAAGGGTCTGGAGCTCATGAAAGAACGGCACGCGATTGACCTGGAACACAGGCCCGTGTTTGCCAGCCGCGGTTATCTGATAAGCGTCCCAAGGAGACGGGTTTTCTGTGCGATCGGAGGGCAGGCTGCGATGAGGGGAGCAGATGGATTTTCTGTCCGTGGCAGCCAGCTGGAAATGAGACGCGCTGTTCTGTCCACAGCAAGCTTGTTGCCCTGGACAAGATTCAGGGTGACTCCTGTACGAGTCCCCTGGGGTGGCCGTAACAACGTGCTGGAGGCTGCATGGCTTAGAAAACAGAAATGTATTGTGTCCCGGCCCTGGCGGCCAGAAGCCCCAAGCCAAAGTGTCGGCCGGGCTGGTGCCTCTTCAGGGCTGAGGGGCGAGTCTTCCATGCCCGTCTCCTCGGCCCGGGGCCCTCAGGGCTTCTGAGCCTGAGGACGGCCGTCTGCTCTGCGTGTCTTCACGTGGTCTGCCCTCTGGATGTGTTTGTCTGAGCGCCCCGTTCCCCTTTTCGTGAGGACTCAGCCTCATCGGACCTGGGCCCACTCAAAACAGCTCATCTGAGCACAGTCATCTGCAAAGACAGTTTCCAAAGAAGGCCGTGGGCAGAGGACTTGGGGTGAGCACTTGAGAGAATGGGTGATTCATCCATCATCCATCATCCATCCATCCATCCACCCATCCATCCATCCATCCATCATCCATCTATCCATCCACTCATCATCCATCCATCCATCCATCCATCTGTCCATCTTAACATTCATCCACTTATTCCTTCTGCCAGCTTGTGGGTCACACACAGGACGGGAAGCAGAAACCCACACGAACACAGCCCTGCTGTGCCCCTGATCATCACGACACGTACTCATTTACTTATTTACTTATTTATTTAAGCATCTTCCTACTTTCTTATTTACTTACTTCATGACTGACCCGTGCCTCCACGTCCCTAGCATTTCACGTGTCGTGGCATGGAGAAGACTTTTCACATCAAAAACGAAAAACAGAAAACAAAAAACACAAGAACAAAACCAAAACATAACAAAACACTTTCTTCCCCAAATCGTATTTCGTGATTCTGAAAGACCTGGTTTGTTTCTGCCATTGGTGACCAGGGTGTCGGTGCCGGCTGGTCCTCCGCGGGAGAGGCAGGCGGGCAGCGCTGTCCCGTGAGCACATGGACAGACCGCCTTGTCCGGGGACAGCTCACACCCTGCCCCTGCGTCCTCTGCTCCGGCCTCTCAGCTGAGCCCTGCTGCACCCCGAAAGGGCCCAGCTCACACCCTGCCCTGCTGCACCCCGGAAGGTCCCAGCTCACACCCTGCCCTGCTGCACCCCGGAAGGTCCCAGCTCACACCCTGCCCTGCTGCACCCCGGAAGGGCCCAGCTCACGCCCTGCACCGTGGCCCAACTTCCAAATCTACGCAAACAGATGCAACAGCCGAGGGCTTTGCACAGGTCCCGGGAGCCATGGAAATGCCGCCGGGCTGTGACTGTAGCCTGCACGCCTTCCCGCTCTGCTGGGCGGGGAGCTGCGTGTGCTGGGCGACGGCTACCACCTGCGGCCTCAGCTCAGAGACGGGCCTGATAACCAGCCCCACTGCGCGCTCAGGGCTCAGCTGTCCCCAGGCCGCCCGCCCTGGAGCAGACGGAGGCCGTGGCGGAACCTTCCGGAGCCAAGATAACATTCTCGGTGAGATGCACAGCTCCACGCAGACGGAGCCTGGCCTTTCGGCCTGTTGCCACGGCGGTGGAGGCCTCTGGTCCGGAGGCAAACGGAGCATGGCGTGTCTTTTTCGCAAATCATAACACCGAACACGATTCAAAGGACATGGCTACGGCGGGGAAACCGATGCGGGTGTGAACGCTTGACAGCGGCCCCCAAGGGGCAGGGAGCTGCCGCTTCTGCCGGCTTGAGTCTGGGCTGGACATGGACTCGCTTTGCTCCGGGGAAGGTGCTCGGGGTGACAGGCGTGGGACGGAACCAGCGGGGACCTTACTGCTCCTTTGAGCCTGCCCGCTGCCACCAGCGCCCCCGGGCACCCGGTAGAGCCACTGACCTCCACGAACCCTCAGGATCATGAAAGACAACAACACGCTGACCGTCATGTTTAGGGTGACGCGTCACCCCGTCAACAGGGGACCGAAACGACAGGTACCTGCAGGGCGAGTGACACCTGACACGTGGCACAAATAAGCAGCGGCAGTGTCCGCCACGCCCGAGCCACCGTGTCACAAACCCCATCGCCCCCTGTTTTGCGCGCTGGCTGAGTCCCTGCCGATGTGGGGGCGGCGGGCGGGGGGCGGGCCGCCAGCCCAGGCTGCCTGTTCATGTCATTGACACGAGGACCTGTGACAATTCGGGAACCGCAGACATTCGTGTCCCCACGAAATGCTAACCTCACCACGTCACCACCCGGGAGCCGGAGACGACGCCACTGCGGGAAGCTTGCTTGTCCTCCGGCCCTCAGCTTAGCGGCTCTGGCTGGGTCTCTCCATGTCACCGACGGGCGTGTCTCCCTTTCGTGTGTAAATGTCCTCAAAGGTGCAGGGTGTACCGGGCAGGTCCCCCACCCTGAGGACAGCCAGCGGATCCAGCTCGCGTGGGCGTGGATGGTGGGAAGGGGGGGGCTGCTGGGAAGAAGAAGGGGTGACTCTGCCCCTTCCACGGGGGCGTTTGCACAACTCTGGGGACACTTTTGGTTGTGACTTAGTGTGTGTGGGGGGGACGCTTCTGGCATCTGCTGGGTGGGGACCAGGGGCTGCTCAGCCGCTCAGGGCCCAGGACGCCCCCCATCAGAGAGTCACCCAGACACAACCGTCCGTCGTTCCAAGGTTATTACACCTGTTTCAGCGCGAGAAATTCTCTCTCTCTCTCTGTTTCTCATCTATGTATCCGTCTATCCTGCCTATGTAGCCATTGTCTATCGTCTATCATCTATCCATCCGTCTATCTATCACCCACCACACCAGGGCGCCCACACCCTGCTGTCCGTGTGTGGGGGCCACAGTCAGAGCCCCCAGACGCCCACGTCCTAAGCCCTGGAGCGCACGAAACCCCCGGACACAGCAGCTTTGTGCGGCGTGATTACCTGGACACGGGGGCGACCTCGCCGGGTCACCCAGGCGGGCTCGAGGGCCGTTACTTAGAAGGAGGAGGCAGGACGGGCCCTGTTGCTGGGAGGCAGGGGGGACGCTGCCGGCTTCGGGGAGCGGGGACGGCTCGGGAACACGGGGGTCCCTGGGACCCCGGAAGCCACGCGGCCAGCCGGGCGACACCAGCGTGCAGCCCTTTGCCGCACGTCTTGAGCGTCAGTGTCAAGACTTCCAGCGTCACTGCTGCTGTTCTTAGCCTCCTGTGGGCGCACAGCGTGGGCCTGAGCTGCCCGCTGACACGCAGCCCCCCAGGCCGGTGCCCCGAGTGTACCCTGCCCGGTGTCCCCGGCTACGCTCCGGGGATCGCTGCTTTATTTGCCCCCTGAGTCCCCACACGGCAGACGGGGTCCCGTCCCTGCCTGTGGCTGACCAGACGACCCCACCCGGCCACACCGTGGCCGCGGGGACCCCGCCGTCACAGGCACACGGGATCCTCACGGCCCACGCGATCCCGGGAACCCCGGGCATACCAGGTCAGCAGGCGTGACGCCGGCCAGCAAAGCCCGCGCAGATGCGTGTGTCAATGTCATGCTCACTTTTTTTTTTTAATTTTTTTAAACTTTTTTCAACTAAAGCGTGACTCAGCTTCCTGTGCTCACTTCCCTACCTTCTCTCTCTGCCTGTTAAAAATCCGGTGACCTCTGTCCATGAGTCATGAGCTGGAAGTTCGCTGTGCCGGCGGCTGTGCGCCCTGCAGCATGAGGCCAGCCTTCCCGCCCTGGGCGGCAGCCACCGCGCTCCTGCTGGGACATTTGGTGGCTTTGGGAGAATCGGGAGCCGGTAAGGAAGCTTTGGCCGATGTGCCCGGGGTGTGTGGGTCCCGCGTCCTTTCTGTAAACCTCCCTTCCTTCCTTTCTCTTGTCTGTCTTTCTTTTTTGTTGTTGTGTCTGCTTGGTCTGTTCGGCTGCTTTCGGCATTGACGTGACCGCGGGCCTGACCCGGGCTTCTGAGAACCTGCAGACCGCAGCTGGCCCGTCGCAAACGGCCGGGGTGACCTGAGTTCAAGATTCAGTTTGAATGGAGAAAAGAGATGAATGACGTAGTGTGTGTGCGCATGTGTGTGTATATGTGTGTGCATGTGTGTACACGTGTGTGCATGTTGTGTGTGCACCTGTGTGTGCGTGTGTGTGTACATGTGTGCATGTTGTGTGCGTGTGCATGTGTGTGCGTGCAAGTGTGTGTGCATGTGCGTGTACGTGTGTGTTCATGTTGTGTGTACGTACGTGTGTGCATGTGTGTACGTGTGTGCATGTTGTGTGCGTGCGCGCGCACATGTGCACACACGTGTGCGCGCGCATGTTGTGCGTGTGCATGTGTGTGTACGTGTGTGTGTGCACATGCTAAGCTGAGACTCTGGGAGGCTCCATTGCTTCACGTGCCGTCAGAAAGGGTCAGGCTTTTGTGTCGGTCCCTATGTACCTGCCTGTGGTGACATCGTGTCATCAGGGGGCCTCCGAGGAAACTGGGGCTTCCCGTCGGTGGGTGTCGGGCCCGCCCACCCGTCCGTCAGCCTGGGGGGCCGCCCTTAAGCCCCACAGGACAAAGGGGGCTTTTCCAGAAAACTGGTGCCAGGCGGACGCTATAAGCATTTGATAAAAGGTGTCACCAGGAGAAGACGGGTGGCAGGGACCCAGGCGGTGGGCAGCTCGGCCACCAGGCAGCTCGCGCTGGGCCCTGCAGCCCGGGGCCACACACACAGGGACATGCTGCTTCCGTATGGTCCCCACGCGTCACCCAGGACATCACGCCGGACCTCGCGCTGTTTTGTCCACCTCGTCCGCCTGCCGTGGCGGGGTCCCCAGCGTCCCCGTTCGCTGCAGTCTGGGGGTGGCCCGTGGGAATTGCAGGCGGCACAGCAGGGGAGCCTGCATGTGGGTGTCCCCCGGGCTGGCACCGATGTGACCCCCAAACTCTGTGCAGGGCCCTTTCCCCTGCTCTGTGAAGCTGTCATCAGGCCCCCCGTCTGCCAGAGGCAGGGGGCACCGTTGTGTTTGGAGACGTTCCCTTGAGACCCCCCTTGTCCCCCCTGACACCCCCTGGACAGAAAAACGCACGGCTTAGACCCGTTCTGGGTCCCGACCCGCGTGGAGCCCCGAGGTGGCTGTCAGGACCGGCGATGGGGGGAGGCCCCCAAGCCGGGGTTCCAGCCGCCAGGGGAGGCCACTCGGCGCCTTTCTAGTAACTTCTTAGAAACCAGAACCTTGCTTTCTCTGTCAGGGCGTTTGTGGTTTGCTTGCTTTTTTCCTGTCACCAGAGCTGCCATTGACCCGAGTTCATGAGACGCGTGAGAGCTGGTGAATGAGGGTGAGAACTGGGGTGTGTGTGCGTGGGGGGGGCACCGTGTTAGGAAAGGACACCCCCTGCCCCGGGGGGTCCCCGTCATTCACGTACGGGCCTCAGCCAGCAGCCACCACTGGGGACGCATCGCCGGCGGCGCTGGGGTCCCGGACACGCGCAGGGGCCGCCCCACGCGGACTCCAGAGTTTTCAGGGAGGGTGCGCTGGCTGCTAATGAGGCCGAACCGGGGGCTACAAAGGTGCGGGGGCTCTAGTAGCTGGGAGGGGGGGCCCTGGGCGCCACCTCGGGTGTCAGCTCAGCCACCGCTGCTCCCCGACAACGACCTCCCCTTAACGCAAACGCCACCATGCCCACGGACCCCAGTGGGGCCGGGGGGACGGGAGGACGTGGCTCAGGGCACGCGTTGGGGTTCCTGCCGGGCCTGGGCTGGGGGTGGCACTGCCTGCTGCTGGCGCTGCGCTTAGTGGGTGGGTTTGAAGGAAGGAGAGAGAGAGAGAGAGAGAGAGAGAGAGAGAGAGAGAGAGAGAAGGATGCTTAGATCTGACCTTACCCACCCCCACCCCCACCCCCAAAATACCCGACAGGATCTGCGTTCAAAGCCCATTGACGAACCCAAGCTCATTAAAGCATTCTTTTAATGACTCATCCATCACCTTCTCTCTCTTTATACATATTTTTTTAACCCGGAGGCAGCTTTTCAACGTAAAAGGAAATTCTCGGTATTGAAAGGATGACGCACAGTTGGCACATCGGTTCTTCTCCCCGTTTCCGTCAGCCTGTGTGGTTTTCTGGGGTGCTGGGGGGCAGGACGGTTACCGTGGACGGGCAGCTTTTCAGAGGCTGCAGGGGCTGGACGTGGGGCCGCACCCACGAGGCGTGGGGGTTTCGGCGACAGCAGCCGCCGTTTTTGAGGCGACCGCCCGCGGGGTCCCCGCGCGCCCGTGTTAGGGGAACGGCGTCCCTGGGACGTGAGGAGACGTCAGCAGAAATGAGGGTAGCAAGGGGACTGGGCCAGGACATTGGTTTTGGGGTGACAGCGCCGTCGAGGTGCAATGCACGTGTCATAGAATCCGTGCACGTGGGGCGTGCTGCTCAGGGCTTTCCGGTGTGTTCAGAGCTGCGCAGCCGGCACGTCTGTGTGGTTCCAGCACATTCCGTCCCCCCCCCAGGAGATGCGTCCCCATGACAGTCACCCCGTCCCCTCATGCAACCCCTGACAGCACACAGCACCCCCTTCCTGTCTGTGGACGGGCCTGTCCTGGACGTTTCACGTAAACGGAGTCACACGCCGGGCGGCCGTGGGTGTTTGTCACTCCCTGAGCACCGTGTCCCCAAGGTCCCTCCACGTGGTGGCGAGTGTCACAGCCCCCTCCTTTTCAGGGCCGAGTGACAGTCCGGTATACGGACGGCTCCCCATTGTGTGTGTCCAAAGAGGGGACGCACAGACTCTGTCCCAGACGTCCCGACACTGCAAAGCCTGCTGTGCCCGACGACGGCGGGGATCGAACCGGCAGCCCTGGTGTCAGGAGCCTGCGCTCCGACCCACGGAGCTAACCGGCCGCCCCACGGAGCCCCTTAATTGACACGTGGATTTGCCCGCACAAGGCACGGG